AAAACATTGTGTTTTATGAAAAAAGTATCAAGAGACAAAAAAAATTCTAAATTTAATGGCTTTCTAACGGATTAATAATTTTTAAGAAATAAATATGCGACCAAATTTTTTTGGCTCCAAAGATAAGGGGCCCCACGAAAAAGTTTCTTAAGGTGGTTTCTCGCAAAAAAGAGTAGCACTATCAGATTCCACATGTCATAAAACCCCTGTGTACCAAATTTAATGATTCTCGTACAACAGAGTTCTGAGATATAAAAAAAAGATTATTCTTAGGGGCGGATTTCAGGGAGCTGTAACTAATTTGTCTTGAAAATCTGTGACCAAATGTTGCATTAATTTTGAGATACCCTGTATAAGTAAAAGAAATAAAACTACTTAAACCTTAATGAACACTTTTATTAGAAATGTGTAAAATTTAGATATTGTTTTCATTTTTATTGATTTTACTATCACTTTCTTCATCTCCACTGCCCAAAATTTTGTTAGCGAAGTGCCTACCCAAAAACTTTTAAATCTTAAGAAGATACCCTGAAATTCTAATTGAATCTTTTCATATTGTCTTGCTACGTTTCCGCAGTATTCTGAACTTATAAAATCTTCATAAATAGCTTCATGCATTGCGTCTTTAAGGTTTGGTGTAAACTTTTTACTCCGGTCTCAAAGTCTACTTCAATCTTTTTTACGCAAGCCATCCACATTACTTAATTGGTTTTATTCTAAAAAGGTGAACTAGCCTTGTTCCACACCTGATGGCAATACTATTTTTAAGTTAAATAACCAAAAACCATATACAACAATGTTCAGCTTTCAACTGTACAGCGTTCTCATATATTTTTTCCCCAACGGCTTTCTTTATTCCTTTTATAGTATAGCTTACCATTATAAATCGTTCGGTCAGATTAGGCCACTTTCGGTGGAAACTGGAAGTCGAAAATAACCCTGAGAGAATGTATTTGTTTAATATTGGGCATGATGACTTTTTTTCATGAAAATTTGTTTTCTGAAGGTAAAAGAGCTTTCACGGGTATCGGCACGAGGCTAACTTCAAAGTCATTTAGGGGTTAAAAAACGCACTTTATAAAAAAAAATGCTTTAGACAAAAATTTCATAGTTTTTATGTTGAATCGAAATCCCCAATAAAAATACACTATTTTATTTGAAAAACTGACTTGGAACCGGAAGAAAACATATAATACTATGCAGCGCTAGAGGTGCATAGACCTCTTCAGACTTTATGGCCATTGAGATTTTTGATCCTTGCTATCACAAAGAAAATTAAAAAAAAAAAATAACTAAAAGCTACTTTCCATAAGGATTCTGTGGGGTCCTTTTAGTCTAGGAGTCATATAGGGTTGCGTGACCAATCAGAGTGCCACGGCTGAAAACAACTTATCCTTATGTATTTTGACCTCCTGAATCCAAAAACCTTGGTCGCAAAGCCTGAAAGTGGTCAGTTCAATTGTTATTAACAAATTAAATGTTTAAATTTCTGTAAAAAGTTTATTTTTGTAAGCTAGTACAATTTGTTATACGTTAATAGTTACGTTTTCTCATAACAAATATATACTTTTTTGAAAATTAAAAAAAGATTAAGTTTAACCAAAGTTATTGCAAATTTAGTGCAAATATCTTACATTTTCCGTCTTCGCGCATTAACAATTGATTTAATTACTGATATTTATAAGATATACAGGGTCGGAAAGTCCCCATGGTTCATCGGCCGTTACGTGAGAGCGATAAAGAAAGTCATAGAAATCCGTGCGATAGAGAAAGATGGCTATAATGAAGTCACCGCCCATTTCGCCCTTCCACAAATAAGATCCACTTTTTATTTGTGGAAGGGCGAAATGGGCGATGACTATTAAACGCTTTCATTATAGCCACCTTTCTCTATCGCACGGATTTCTATGACTTACTTTATCGCTCTCACGTAACGGTTGATGAACCATGGGGACTTTCCGACCCTGTACATACATAATAACAACAATTGTTTAAAGATTTTAATTAATTAATTTCTTTTTTAATAATGGGCTCATTATAGACATTTTTGCAGGTGTTTTGCCTTTGGCAATAGCAAAATGAGCAACATTTATTTTCTGCAGCCATACAAACAGATGATCTTCTAGAGCATACTTTGCATGTGCAATTAGTGATGAGTTCACCTGGTGGAGGAAGCAATATTTGTATTTTTTTTGGAGCATACCTATCTCCATCAACTATCTAGCTGAACATGTGTAGGTCTAACTTTGCAGCGTGCCTATTTAAACAGTTTATCTAATTGTAAACTATATAATTATATACACCTTAAAATGTGCAGTTCTATTGACGCATTTGTAGGAGGCAGCTCTTCTATTAAAGTGAATTTTGCATGGCGATAAGACCATAAGTACTCGTAGGTCATCAAACTCCTTACAGGTTGTATCTTTCTTTACGACTTTTACTAAATATTCTTCTGCCATTTTAATATTTGCTTCGATAGTGGTTTCTGAATAATCTATAATATGAAACATCACATTTTTAAATATTTAAACTACCGGTTACTATATGATTAATTTTATTAATGCCTTGATAATGAAATTTACAATGAACTACATTTTACCTTTTCCAAAATTGATCAAATAGTTTGTAGGATCTCCTTGTAAAGCCGAACGGTGTTTGTAGTTCTTGTTTAATAAATAGATCAATATTAAAAACATATAAGTATATAGGGCACTTGCACTCTGAGCTTTCGATCGAGCGCGCGTACATCGCTCTTGACTTACGCGCGTCTCTTCGCGGATTTTGATAAATCACTATAAGGCATGAAATGATTGTTAGGATGCAAGGAACAATATCCGGTAACTTTTTTAGCTTTTCATCGAAGTTGAATAATAAAAAAAGCCTTATAAACAAATATAACCAGCATTTTCGTTGAAATTTCACAACTTTCTAAGCTGCCATTAATTGTTAAATAAATTAATTAATAAATGGACCTTACCTATCTTGTAAAATTAAGTTCAAGCTTTAAAATGAGATGTCGTGCGTCTCAATCCGTCCACTAAAACCAGAGATATGGTAAAATTGGTGCGCGCGGAGACGGAAAATGTAAGATATTTGCACTTTTGCAATAACTTCAGCTAAAGTTAATCTGTTTTTAATTTTAAAAAAGTATATGTTTGTTATGAGAAAACGTAACTATTAACGCATAAAAAATTCTACTAGCCATAAAAATAAACTTTTTACATTTAATTTGTTAATAACAATTAAACTGACCACTTTCAGGCTTTGCGACCAAGTTTTTTGGATTCAGGAGATCAAAATACTTTGGATTAAGTTGTTTGCAGCCGTGGCACTCTAATTGGCTACGGAACCCTATCTGGCTCCTAGACTATTTATGGATATCTAGTGAACATAATATGTAATGTTTTTATTGCAAATATGGCAATGCAGCTTACGAATTTTTGAGTTTGAATTTATTTTATATTACAGCGAAGAGCAATGGTTTGAAAATTAATGTAACTTTTTTGTAATGCTATTTTATCTATAAGAAAAAATATTCTGTCTCTATTTATTTGACTCTCTGTTTAAATACAAAATAATAATAAACTGTTATAGGCTCACATCATGTTATTTTTGTTGTCATAGTAAAAATTTACAATTTGTTCATTAACAAGTGAAGTTTGATAGTTTTCTCCTTTTAATAAAGTTAAAAGCATTTCAACGAAAAGACAATAGTATGTTTCGCAAGTATTTAATACTAAATTGTATGTAGGTATTAAGTTTAATATCCACAGATTACGTTAATCATTTTCAAAAACAATATTATTTAATTACGTGTAACCCCTTTAACCATTCCACTGAGATTCAGGGATTTCCAGTTGATAATACCAATCAAGAACTATTGTTTGTCTATGCTCTACGCTCACGTGGCTTGTAATCATTTTTGACGGCTCTGTAGGTATCAAATTACATGTTTTGTTGACTTCGAGATTTTAAAGGAAATACGATATTAATTAAAAGCATGTTCTGCAAGTATCACTCATATTTTATTTTTTTGTTGACTTTTAATTTTCCATTTTCTGCTAATAAAGGACAGCCAATCTTTTCTTCATATGCGGTTAAATATATATTTTTTTTTAATTTCAAATTTACCACCAACGATTTGATAATACAGATTTGATAATGCAGATTAATTACATGTCGACCAGTCGTCAGATTTGAATCTGCCGCCATTTTAAATAAGGCGCTCCGATTGGTTATTTGAATGTACCACTAACTTGAATGCTGCTCTAATTGGTCAAACATGCGGAGGGGCCTGACCTAAAAGTGAAGTAATGCGGGTAACCTGTTCCTTCTATCTGGAATCCCGCTCTCTATGTAGAAAAGCCATGGCATCACCTGAGTCTGGCCCAAGTGGGACCTTACCTACTTGTACTTTATTTTTAACACGATTTGTTTTGTTTTTATCTTATTGATTTCACCCCCTTCAATAATGGATATTATCTGTTGAATGATATATCTAATAAATAAATAAATATATTTAAATATTTTCAAAAATTTAGCTTTGTTTGTCAGTAGACAAACTTTTAAATAGAAGTAATTTAGCAAAAAAAGTGTAGATTAATAAAATAAGAATACACCAAATATTGACTGACCGTAACTGACTACATTAGAACAATTAAAATTAATGTATCTCAAGAATTATTTATTTTGGCAATATCAAACAACTACACCTTTATTACAGTAAATACACTGTTCAAAAAACACCTGCGTTTTCCAAATATTTTCACTAATAAAAAGATATGACTATTTTATATTACAAATTCGACAATCCCAAAAGCTCCCTTTGAACAAATTTTATTCAAATATATTGGAAAGTGATGAAGTTCGTAAAAAATATAAACAAAAATATGTCTTTGAAGGCGCGTAACTCTTTAAGGAATCATTTTGATACTAAGATATGGGGTTAATTACCATGTTTTGGTCAGAAGGTTATAATTTTATACTTAATTATGACTCACCCACTTTCTCTTTGACCATTATTTCGTTTTTTCTTTATTCCAATCAATAGCATTTAATTTTAAATGTCATGGATTAACTATAAGCCGGGAGCTTTTTTTGTTCATATCCGCATACATTTTATAAGTATATCTGATCTAACGTTCATCCTTATGTAGTCATATCAGCCTCTACAATTTCCTTCCACCTGCATAGTATGAAAAACAAGTAAAAATGATAAATGTCCATGTCTTTCTATCCACCTACATAAATGTACTTTCTAACGTAATTTTTATTATTAAGTAGTAGTCGCCATGTTTTACCCTATCCGCCAATCAGAAGATACTTTATTTTTCTTCTATATCTTCTACCGTCAATTAAAGTCACTATATTGATATTCACTCTTGCATCCACATCTACTCACACTTTCGTATTTCTTACGAACGTACTATCGAAGTGAGCAGAAATCGCTACTAATCAGGGATGGGCTATTACGCGTCGACTTTAATTGTCGACGTCTACGTGTAGACTTCGCGTAGACTATGTAAACAACGTAGACTATGTAGACAATGTAGACAAAGAGGAGTTTGCGCTCTAATTTCAGTTTAATCTAACCTATATTATATTTGCGTTACATTTACGTATGATCTATTTTGTGCTGTACTCAATTCATCACTCAACTTTTTCTGTTTGGCTGTTTTTACATAAACATAAAATGAGCGGACGTAAACATAGAACATAGACATAGAAATTGACCAAAAAAATATCAAGTTAATTTAGGGTTGAAGTCAGAAAGTTGGTTGAGGGTTTGCTTAAAGAATACACTGTGTCTGAATTAAAATTTTCTTGGTAGCTAACGCTTAATATTATTCAGTCCTGCTAAGTAAATCAATTCTTTTATACAAACATTTGACAATTTATGGTGACTTGACATTCTTGACAATTATGTGTTAATTTTAGAATAATTTTTAAATTGGTTAAAATTTCACAGTTTTATAATTTAATCTCAAGTTAAAAGCCTTGAAAGCTTGACAATTAAATAATACAAAATGTTCTATAAATTAAACCTTCAACCAATCTTCTGACTGCAACCTATTTTTTTTTTAAGTTTTGAATACATTATTTATTTTTCGTTACTTTTTTTAACTACCAATAATGTTGATGATTATGTTATTATACACTTGTTAAACAATTTTAAAGAATAAAGTTTTATTTTATTTAATTATGTATTTTTATAATGGGGTATTTTCTTTCAATCGAAATGAAAGTGAAAACTTTCATTTTTGTATACTTAATATATATTTTTTTATATTTTTTAAAACAAAAATTATTATAAAAAAAATTATATAAATATATAAATTAAGACAGTCAGTAAAAAACAGTTTATTTAATTTTAAAATTTTAGTCTCCATTCGTGACCTCATTAAGTGAAAACTAGGGAATATATATAATACTCATATATGTATAGAGGTACATATACCAATAAATACACATAATATTTAGTTTGAGAAAATGCAATAAAAAACATTATCTTGTGCCTCTGCAAATATTTACAGAAATATGTTACCATTTATCGTTTATTGAAAAGCTCAGCTCTATATGATCTGTATTAAAATCTTAGATCTTATATATTTACATAATATGATATAGGATTGAAACAAAAATTATTTTGAAAGGGTACCTATATTATAAATTAGTAGAAATATTTAATAAAAATTTTTTCTATTAATTTCTGTAACTAACACTTTTAGAAAAAATAAAATTAACGTGTTCTATCTAAACTAAAATATCTACACAAAGTGTTCTTAAAACTTAATCAGATATTCCAAATTGTTGCTGACTTTAAAAATCATAAAATTTTCATTAAAGAATATATGCGACATATCTTTATTTTGAGAATTTATAAAAAAAAATGTTGGTCAATCTGACCTGACCTAAAACTATCGAGGAGCATCAAGCGAGACACACTTTTTTTTCTCGTGAATTCTCGGCAGATGTTGTTTGATCTTTTGTACTCGGTTCATACATTTTTTTTATAGATGGTTGTGATAGGTAGGTACTTTTCCAAATTCCAAATTTTCAATTTTTCTTTTTTTGCAAGAATCACGAGTTACAGCCTTACGAAATTCTTTTTTTGAGGTACATACCTACCACTAGGCTTGCGCCAGGACTTCGGGTTTTGATGGTACATCTCCGGGCTNCAAGGGTCGGCAACTGGCGGACCGCGGTCCAGGTCCGGACCGCGGAAGGTAAAATACTGGACCGCCAAAAATTGTTTGAAAGTATAAATTACTCAAATAAATTATTTAAAAAATGTTTTTTACGTTTAAGTGCCAATGTTATCATTTTTTCTAGTATTTTACAATTGTGTGAGTGTTTTGAGTTCTTAATGGTTAGTAAGCAGATTAAATTTGAGTCCAAATTAAAATAAAAAATAAGAAACATGAATTTTTTTCTGGACCTCGTTAAAAATTTTCAAAAGTATTCGGACCCCACCTAAAATTACTTGCCGACCCCTGATCTAGATCATTGTCTACGTCGACATTGTCTACCCGCCCATCCCTGCTACTAATTATAAACACTATTTTATTACCAGCGAGATCCAGATAATATTGCTCTCCATGTTTCAGTGGTTCTTGGGGAAGGGAATCCAAACGAGGACAGGGAATCACCTCAGGATCCGGATAATAATGACAACCATATGGGGACCAATGTCGTTTCTCTTTAATGTTAGCATTACCTGAAATGAAAATAATATTTTAATTCACTGTGATGTGAAACTATGTTTCATTTTACCCAAACCAAACCTATGCTTTGAAAAAATGAAACTGTCTCTTTTCGATTGCCCCGTTAGCCACGAGTGGGCAACTACTGAAAACAAGTATTTAATTTGGAACAGAAAATGCTTCGTTTTTATTCAAATAATTTTAT